GAATATAAATTGAGTGAGCATATTGAATATGTTAGGGAGCAGATGATAAACATAGCTATAAAGATATGAAGACTTAGAAAAACATAAAATGCAACTTAAATATGAGCATTTTTATAATAAAATGTTCAGCTTTTCTGTAGAAAATAGTTTAGTTATTTTAATAGCAATATAAAACAATTCTTTTTACTTTTTCTCATTTGTCTCCTTTAGATTTCACAGCTCTACATATAACCCTAGATCCTCTTATTACTTCAGTTTCTGTTTGAATTATGCTAATGTTTTCAGAGGACCATTGTAAAGATGTATTTTTAAATAGCTGTGCCTCACATTTTTATCAGTATATTAGCTTCATTAACATTTTAAACTTGTTTTAGTAAAGAATAAATTTATTGGTGCTTGATTTATGTGTTTATCAAAATCAACTTTCAACTCCTCAATCCTTAAATTTCTTGATTTGTTAATATTTCTTTCTTCTGGATAATGTTAAAACTATTTACAGTTAGACAAAGTTCAATTTCTAATGAATTTGGTACCCACTAAATTCATTATATTTTTAATTAATGCAAGCAAGTTAAAACTACATTTCTTTTTTGTATACATAATGAGCACAAGTGAGTATGCGTTACAACCCAATTTCTGTTTTATTATCAGCTAAAGCTATTATCAGGGAGTTTATTGTGGACTTAGTTCTTACAATTAATTGTGTAATAGTAGCTGTCCTAGCAGTCAAATGATTAGGAAAAAAGCAAACATAATTAAACTCAATTATTCAAATTCTGGTTATCCAAAATTAGCATGTGTTCCACACTTACCTTGCCTCTAAAAATTATTTTTCTTCCCAACGATTCACTCATTCAAAATATATCACTCTTTTTACACCAGTAAACTTCATTTCTAAAGTCGTCATTCAAAACCTTGCATATTGATTTCATATGTGGACTTTTTGGCTAACAAAAATTATTTAAATATATCAATGTCTGCTCTTGCGATTTTATGACACTGATAAACTACAGCTGTTAGGGATGGAAAAAAGGAAAGTATTGCATGGTTCTCTCAAGATGACAGAGGATGTAAACTTCTATTATCATAGGCATCAGGCTTCTGTCTCCAAATTAAAAATTTGTTTCATTGTATCATTAAATATGCAAGAATAGCATGGGAGGCAATGTCAAAGTAAACTAAATGCTTTCTCTAAAACCAATTGCCACTGAAGTTAGTACATGGTGTAATAGCAAACTATTCTATATTTTTATATATACCTTTGAAATACATTAAATAAATATGATCCTCAAAACTAACTCTATAACACTGTTATTAATATTCTTTGTTCTATAGTGTCACAATTGAGGTACACTGAAATTCAGAAATTTTCAGAAAATCTTACAGCTTGTAATTAATGCAATTAGGGTTCAACTGCAGCAATAAGCCCTTTCGTGTGCCTGTCTGCTTTCTTTCTAGAAATCATGATATTCAAACAAATATGCACTTTTCTAATGGAACATTCGTACACAATGAATAATTAGACTGAAATAATTTACCTTGAAGCAACCTGTTAAGATCATGAAGGCTGATGTTTGGAGTATTTATCCTGGGTATATGGCTAGGACACAAATTGATTAGTCAGGAAAATAAAGATATAAGTGTTTAATAAATATTCTATGAACAGACAGATGGATATATAAAGGATAAATGAAAGTTGTAGGAATCCTAATTTCATCATGTTACATTGTATATACCTATCAATTCATATTATAGCTAATAATATTTTTGGAATTGTGTTTAAAAGATTTCAAAAATAATAGTGTAATTTTCTTGAGGAAAAATAATTTCATCAAAATCAGATAGATTAACAATTCAAAATCTCTGTCTTACTAAACGCATCTTGTTTCAAAAGGTGGGGGCCTATAATGGCTGGATTTTTATTGGAGGATTCCACACAGTTAAAGCAGAATGGCTTGAAGTAACTGAATTTCCTAACAGGTTCATCTTCACCGCACCCCATGTAGATGAGAGATTAATTTAAACTGCATTAGTTCATTTAAGCTTACAGGATTTAAATTTTGTGAAATGTGTTTAGTTTTGTACAATTTGTTTTTTCCTTAGAATAGAGCCTAAATTTACATTTCTTGAATGTTTCAAACTGTCTTATTCCTAGTCTTGATTGCTGTGATTCTGGAAGTCTTTTTGCAATCTAACTGGCATATATACATAAAAGTCTGTGTTATACTGTTATTTGTAATTCCTTCAAACTGAATGTATTATCTTGAACCTATTATTTCTGCATGTCTGGCATTTTTAAATCTAAAAATAAAATTCTATATTACAATTTATAAAGATCTTTTTACTCATCTTCGGTTTCCTTCCAGAAATTTTTCTTGGTGAATAAAAGATATTAATAAAGTCTATTTCCCCATAAACATGCACACAACAGGTAGATTATATATCATATTAAATTAGTTGAGTTGTTTAAAAAGTAAAATAAAGTTTATAGTGAAAATGAAAGCTTTCTTTAAAAATGTGCTACTGCCCAGCAACAGAAGGATACATTTCTTCATTTTTGGATCTCATTTCCTCAGAGAACATAATTATCCTTAATTTTTTTTTAAAAAGGATACTTTATAAAGGCTTTTATGTTCATTAAGTAGATTAGAAAAGTTTCAGAAGAGGAAGAAAAATGTGGAATAAAAAATGTCATATTGACCTAATTGAACATCCTTAAATGCCTGTGAAGATTTGCTGATGTTTATTAACACCTGTGTAATAATGTTGCCCTTTAAATGTAACTGGTTAAATTTTCAAAGCTGTGTCCTGGGATTGTGCCATTTGATGTCCATTAATATCAATTGGAATATGCGGCCAAATCCCTGTATACTACTTTGAAATTTTACCCCTTAGCGTTAATGATAGTCTTCTAACAGTGCAGTTAGAAATAAATTATTTATCTGCTGAGTTCAGATTTTCTTTAGTCTCTTGGGTTAACTAAATAAGGGGGGTGGTATTCCAATATTTATTTATTACTTCAAAGCAACATGTGTATAAAAAATCCATTAGCTTAGGATGTGTCAAAAACATGTCAGATGTCAGTTATACTGTGCAGAGATAGCTGTATATCTATCTGAAGGTTTAAGGTGTAGATGTCTGTAAAAATAAATGCTTTGCTTTAAATTTTATTCTCATTTAGATTTCTTTTAATATAACTGTATATATATATATATATATATACATGTATTCTCAGTATAGATTCTCCTGCCCACTTTTCGCCTTTGAAGACTACAAAGAAGAAATCATTTGTAAATATTTTTATATAAAAATAGTCTTGATGTCCAGTTTCTAATTTTTTCTAACTCAACACTTTGTATTCTAAAGTGTCAGCATTTAATATTCTTGACTAAGAATTAATAATAAAGGAAGGGCTGTGTGTGTGTATGTGTGTGTGTGTGTGTGTGTGTGTGTGTGAGAGAGAGAGAGCAACAAGTAGACATTTCCACAAACATTTTTGTGTTGAGTTCAAAAGTATTGGTAATGCATGCATTTTGTTCTATTCAAAATGAATATGAACAGGATTAAAAAGAATGTCACTGGGGTCTTTTTAATAAATGTCCATTTTTGTTTGATTTCACTCTTGGTGTTGTACATTCTAAGACAGATGTACAATAACATGCATCCACCTTTATGGTATCACACAGTGTTTCACTGTCCTAAAAATCCTCTGTGCTCTGTGTGCTCATCCTTGCCTCTCTCCACTATGCCCTCAACCACTGACCTTTTTACTGTCTCCGTAGTTTCACTTTTTCTAGAATATATTGTAGTTTGAATTGCATAGGATGCATCCTTTTCAAGTTGAAAGCTACTAATTTCATGACACATACGCTCTAATTAATCTATGTGCTTTCTGGAAATGAGAGTTTGAATACATGCATATTAATAATGCTCATTGTGCTGTGGAAATGATAGTAAAATGCTATATGGGGCTGAATCAAATATATATTGTGTGTTTTGTAGGGCCCTGACTTATGACAATTTCAAATTATTGTACAGTAGAGCTATCTTTAGCTCAAAACACACCTTTAAAGTACTGTTGACTTTTTTTTTTTTTTGGTACTGGGGATCAAACTAGGGACCTTGAGGTTCCAAGGCAGGCCCAGTGCCACTAAGCTAAATCCCCAGCCCAAGAACAGTTGACTTTTGAATGATACCAAGAATATCAATTTATATTACTCCGTTATAACAACATTAATTTACTGCTAGATGTTTAATACTTGAGGATCTAAGACTCTAAAGGAGGTTTAGTACAGTTTAAAGCTAACAGTATTCTGAGCATCTATGTGATTTTTCAAGAAATTAGGGACTAATATACTGTTAATGTCTGGCTAATTTTAAAATATATCCATATATATAGACAAACTACTTGATTTTAGTAAGTTTCCTTTAACTTGGTTACATTTTTCTCATATATGAAAAATTATATTCATCTCATGATGTTTCTTCAAATACATGTACAAAGCAATATGCAATCTGTAAATTCATCAGCACCTTGCTTGTTTTTACAGTATCTATATTCACAACAGCTGCTTTATACTTTGCAGAAACATAACAGAGTTGTATGTCTATTTATGTACTGTATGATTTTTTCTTTCTCAAAACCTTCTGTTTCTTGCTCTTTTTAAAAACAGATGCTTGAGTGTTCCACACAATCTTTGCACATTCCTGTGTATCAAATTATAATTTGCATGTATTTTATGCAAGAGTTCTATGGTTGCTATACTCACTTGCATTACTTCTCAGCATTCAACAATACCATCAAAGTTCTTAAATAAATTTATTGACAAATATCAGACTTTGAAATATAACATGTATATACCAGATGTGTACCTATCCTAGTAAAGATAAGGAAATTTGAAATTTCTCCAATACAGTACTACCCCTACATAATGGTAAATATAAGGCAGTGTGTTCCAGAATTCCACATGCTAAAAATTAATTATCCTCACTTTCTACAGGAACAGCGATCAGACCTATTGCTTTGAGAGCTGTAACCTCCATTGCCCGTGCTTTACCTGGATTTCCCATTTTGGCCACTGGTGGAATTGACTCAGCTGAAAGCGGACTTCAGTTTCTCCATGGTGGAGCTTCGGTCCTCCAGGTAGTACTTGTGCTTGGCTTTTAAATACTATCCATCTCACAAATACAATAGATCTTATATGACAAAAATATGTTACATTATTTTACAGCAGGAGATAATGTGGGGTTCAAATGGCAGAACTCATTCAGTGTCTCTTGTGTGTTGAGAAGAAACCTGAGCTTTATGTCCTGTCCTGTTGAAGAGAGGAAGCCTACAAGCACTCTTAGTTTTTAAAAAATATATATCCACTCACATATCTATCTGTAAAGTAAATGACACCAGATACTGTTACAAATTGGATGAGGGTCCTTTTCCTCAGTTTGGACAGCAAATAAGAATAGGCAAAGTATGGCTCTTTTAATGTTAATGCACAAGTTTTGAATGTCACGGTTATCTGCTCTTAGTGATATTATGTGACCAGCAGCTACTGGCAGACCTCGGGAACATTTCCAGGGGTAGAGATGACAGCTCCACAGAAATCCCATTTTCTCCTTGCTGTTCTCTAGCTGCTGACTAACCAGTGTTGCCAGACCTGCTTGCTGGCTTTTTTTTCTATGGCAGCAGTCTTTGTTATACCAGCTGTCAGTGTACTAATTCAGTCTGCTCCATTCAAGATAGAAGTCATGAGTAGGAAAAATGTACCGTCCAAAAGAAGCTTTATTAGACATATGCTGCAGCAAAAGGAGGAACAGTTTATACACTCACCCAATGAGGGCATAGGGGAATTATTTGTATGGGGAAATTGACACGTACGTGCATGAGTACATTCTGCTAGCTCACCGTAGATGCGTTGTCAGAGGTATTCCTGGACCTGATTGAAGATAGCTGCCGAGGGTCAGAGTCATCCAAACAGGCTGTGGGGTGGAATCATCTAGTATGAACCTGCCACCCAAGCATGCTGAAGCCCAAGCAATATCTCCCAGGGAATTCCTATGGCCATCCATAAAGAATTTGGGGCAGCCACACCTATGAAAGACGAAAGAAAAATAAAATGAAAATTTAAAAGTACCTTTTTGGGTAGTTCTGGGCTCTAATTCTCTGTCTCAGGACCAAATACATACTGTACATTTAATAAAATAACAAATACACAAGAAAACCTAGGTAAAAGTAAAATCCATTGGAAAATAAAATAAAATAAAGGATAAGTTCAGTGCATGATCAGTGTTATAAGGTACAAATTTGATTCTGGACTTCCTAGCAGACAGAGAAAGCATTATTGGCTTCTTAACTTGAAAATATAGAAAAATACATTGGTCGTTTACCTTCTTGTGGTATAAAACTAAAGGAGCTTCTTTCATTGTCTTTACAAAAGGATGCTTGGGAGATGTTTTAAATTGCACTGTTAATACCACCTCCAGAAATAATACACACTGAGTAACTTTTTATTATTTATATACTTGATTTGTTGAGCATTTGGCACATTTTAGCATAAGCATGTCTCTGAGGAGCCAGATGTATATGCAGCTTTTGGGTCTGAATGACACAAGGACCCATTTTTGTATCTAACTACTAGACTGTGAACTCTCAAGTATTACTCTGTTAATGTGACTTCTCATTATGTAGTATCGATGGTAATTGAAATCAGAGAGTTTAATATCATTTATGTCTTCCAGCTAAAGAAAAAGTGGACTGCAAATATATTTTAATGCTAATGAGATTCAGAATTAACACTGCATCATGAAATATATATTAGCATATATATATATTGCATATATGTCACATGTATAAGTTAACATATAATATATATATAGTTAGATAGATGTAATTATTTAACTAATGTAAACAGACTCTGAATGGTGGAGAGAAGGCTGACTGGCTAGGGACTTTAAGACTTGAGGAACAAGAGTGATGAGTTCCTTGATTTGTTTATTTGCTTCCTCATCTATCCCACAGCTGGAGTCAAAGTCAGCCAGCAACCTAGAAACAACAGGTACAGATTCAAAAGTAATTCCCCTCTCTCTGGCTAAACAACCAGGAAGGAAGCACCCTAGCAAGACAGTAAACTTTTGGACAATCAGTGTTATATCTCAACTAAACATCATAGATAAAACTGCACTCCAATAGCCATCCATAAAAAGCACAAGTGGAGGTCCTAGTACAAGGACCTCCTCGCTCGCCTTGCAATCCCACATCTCCCTGGGCAACATCACCTATGCATCTAGGAAGTGTGACCTTATATCATGGAGGGTTATGAGGCGTCCCTTCTCCTTTCCTTGAGATGATACAGAGAACATCTAGGGAGTCAGGACTTTCGTTACTGCCACGTGGTAATAAGGTTACTGTCCTTTCCTCCTCCCTGTGGTATTAGTAAAGGTGAAGTGAAAGGTAGCAACAACATATTCTTGCTGTTTTCCACAATGTTTTGTTCCAGTAATGTAACAGTTTGTGCTGTGGGCCAGTGCCCCTGTCTCACGGATTTCATAACTATTTTGTAACTGCCTGAACTGCATGACCTCTCAGGAATGTTCAGTTAGCTCCACCCCTCTGCCTCTGTGAGCCAGCTCCCCCACTGTGCCTTTCAGCAATGTTCTGTAATTCCACCACAAACACACACACACCCTTCTTTGAGCATGCTCCACTATCCCTACATCCCTATAAAAGGAGGCTTCCATTTCTGCTGAAGCCCTTGGACTTTGGAGTAGGGTCTCCTCTGAGTCTGCCAGCATAATAAGAGGTTTTTCTCCAACTCTGAGTGACCTTCAGATTTCTGAGTCTTCAAATTACAGTAGTTGTGCCTCAGAGCTGTAACACTTGGTTATAGCACCAAGCTGTTCTGCTTTGTCACAGCATTCAGGCTATACCTTACGGTTTTACATTAAAAGAGAATAAATGTGAAAACATCAACAAATAAAGCTGCTTCATATGCCCTGAGTGCAAGTATGTACTCAGTACGGACTCTAGTAGGTAAATATGGTTTAGAGTACTGTATATCTTTATAAAAATGCACAATGAAATCATTACTCTGTATCATTTTCTGTTTAGGCTCCTCTTAATAAAGAACCAGAGATTTACTGAGGCTATGTTAAGAAAACAAAGTTTCTTGTGCTTTGTACATGAATAGAGGCCAGAGAGGCAAATCCGAGGAGAGGACTTTCATGCTGTCCTTCTTGAGACCTGTAATTTCTCCCTCAGGAGAATCTAAATTCCTGTCCAATCTTTTCTCTGGGCATATCTGACTCCTTGTTTTTTCCTTCTCTGAACTTTTGACTAGTAAATGGCTGTCATGATCAGCTGGCCCAATGCACATGGTACTGTTTCAGCTCCGGCTTCTACATGAAATGCCTCACTAGCTTAGTATTTCTTGGCTCAGATTTCTATGAGAGGAAATCTCTTTGGCTCAATTTATCTTTTTGCCTTCCCTACCATAAGATATTGACTACTTGATGTGTAGCATAAACTTACAGAATTTTTTGAATGAATTTATTAAACAAATGTGCTTGAGTTTTTTTATTTTGTTTTGTTGTTGATTTTCCTAACAAAATGTGTGAAACAGGGAAAGAGTTCATGAGGTCATTGTCATGATGGGGTTTTAGCTCAGTATCCCTGTGCCTGCTTCTCAAGCACAAGGTTCTAAGTCTGATCTCTGGAACAAGGTCAATTGCCTTCAGATCCCACTAGGAATGGCCCAGAGACTTTTTAACCTTGTAAAATATTGGCTTCGAAAGATTTTGTTAAAAATGTTAAGGTCCACACATAAGGTTTTACTGACTGGAATTGCAGCTTATTTATCAATCTTACTTATCAATCAGTTTGCATTCAGACTTGTATTCATCCAAAAATATTTTTAACAAATATTAGCTAAATCATAAAAATCAGTATTATGATGTGTTTTTGATGATTATGAAATGTAAAACACTTGAATTTATAATTTTGGCCTGGCATTTTAGTGCAGTGGAACATGAATAATATTTCTCTCACTTTTCCATTGTAACTGAATTTCACCCTGCTCCACTCCCTAATTCTGGGTTAATATAACCTTTCATTTTCTATACTTCTAGGCTGCTGCTTATTACTAGAGAAATTCAAGTAATTCTGTCAATTAGGTTTACTCCAAAATACAGTGTTCGATGTCAGGCAGGCTTTGGGTATTAGTCAGGATCTCTTTTTATTCTTTTTGTTTTTAAGAAAACTTCTAGCCAGGCATGGTGGTGCATGACTAAATTCCCAGTACTCAGGGGGCTGAGGCAGAAAGATCTCCAGGAGCTCAAGGCCAGCCTGAGCTACATAGTGAATTCAACGCCAGCATGAACTTCATAGGAGACCCTGCAGAAGGAGGGAGGGAAGGAAGGAAGGAAGAAAGGAAGGGAGAGAGAAAGGAAAAAAGAGAAGAAAACAACAGAAAAAGAAGTAAAGAAACCTCATGAAACTAGAAATTAGTTCAGATCTTTTTCATTCACTGAGAAAACCATAGCTTCTGCATTGTTGCCTTCCCATTTCTCTGATGCCCTCAGTCTTCTGACTCTTATTACACAACTCCCCCTCTCTGGTTCAATTATATTTTTCAAATCTGCCTATTTCTATTCAGAATAAAACATGAACTAACAAAATGCACAAAAGACACGTGACTAGATAAATGCAAGCGTTCACCTGTCCAGATGATGGTGCCTCTGCATGAGTATAGAAAGCAGCTTCTTTAAATTCAGTTTTAAGTGAATCTATGTACTTGAGATTAAGCCATATGACTTTTTTTAAAAGTGTGTGTATTTCAAAATTGAGAAGTTATTTTTTTAATCACTCGGATATCAGAAAAATGCTTTCTTGTTCAATTAATATGCATCACAGGAATCATCCCCTTATTCAACTTATTCAATAAATGCTTAATACTGCAGTCGGAATTTGGAATACATCTTTTTAATACAGCTGACAAAAATCTGTTACCTGCCACGACATTCTAGTGAGTTTCATAATAAATATGAAACCAAAGTACATCGGCTATTATATAAGAAGATGATGAGTGTCATGGGGGAAAACAGGCTTCATCCTGAACATGGTCATTCAGGAAAACTAATATTAAAGAAAAT